TTACAATGAAACTGGTCACAACTAGATATCGAACTCATTACAAATATATATCGTCATTTGTCTTCCTTTCCACTCTTCTTCCTTTTTTACATATTGTTTAAAGTTTACTGGGGTTTGAGTTTGAAAGTTTCGGGTTTCCTTAAATTTGTGGTTTGAAAACAGAGTTAAAGCTAAAAAAACATGATTTCCGACAATATGTGACCAAAACCATGGTTAAAGTTAAAGATATGGTATAAACAACACCCAATAAAAGGACAGAAAGATCCCTCATGTCCCTGTAATATTATAATGCTTTTACCCAGAAAGACATGTTCAATTGAGGATTCCATTAAAGGAAAGTGGCTCAATTTAGGTGCAAAATCATTTGAGGGACACACAGAGGCCCCAGCGTGCTGGGAGCCATATGCATAGCCAACATATAGTGTTGAGTCACCAACAGATTATATTTGAGTAAACATCAACGTCTTCATTTTAGCAGCTAATTCTAATTGCATATTATCATAATTGTGATGCTAGAGTTAGCTAGAATCCTAATCAACAGAAAAGCTCTGTGTTTAATCATGTCAAATTACTTGTTCTTTGGTTGGTGTTTGGAATTTTAATGCTTCCAAAGTTCTTTCCAGACCTCTTCCTCCCTCCTCTGGCCATTACCGAATTCAACATAGCAATAACCTGTTATATATATAACTACAATCCCATAATAATATGAATTGCAAAATAATTTGCATGATAAATCAAATCGAGTAAACCGAGACAAACTAGCTAGTGGATGACAAAAATGTCTTCCACTACCAAAAATTTCACACAGGAATTAATCCCATAAAACTTAGAATGAATGCATCTTATAGTATTTGATTTCAAGGTATTATTTAACACAAAGTTCATAGCTGCAAACACATCTAATCTATTGACACATGGCACGATCCTAGCTCTCATTCTCTAGCAAAAATAACATTGCACTAAGAAACGAAATCAGTATATAAATGCACCAAAAAGAAAGGGTATACCTTTAAACTCGTCACATCACCGACATAGGTAGAAAAATAAACTGATCATTAAAAGGTTTTCTTGCATGTGGCCATCCTTTTTTCTCTGTATTTTTTTTTTATTTATAAGATGCATGTGATTATATTCGCAATCAACCATCATTCTATATTCCTAAGTTTTTGGATGCTACAGTTTAACAGCTAATGCTAAAGATAGTATGAATCAACTAAATATTAATCATATAATTATTAAAAGTTGAAGCTAGAAATCCTAATACGGTATGTTTTATTATTTTTTTTTATTTTTTTTTATAAATGACATAATAGTTTTAAATAGAGTGCTGTTAAACAAATCTTAAAATTAATTGAGTACACCCTAATATTTTAATCAAAATGTAAAATTAACTAAATACACCCTACTTAATTACCAAAAATACCCCTGGTACACCCTAATACACTATCACACGACACCCTAATATCAATCCTAAACCAGGTTTCTCTTTTCACATGAATTCGTTCCCTCTTTTCAGATTTTGGGTTCGCATCAAAATCTTTAATTTTGTAAGATGTTGTGGGAGTAGACTTGTTAGCTCTTTCAATTCAAAGCTTGATTCTTGTAAATCCTTTTCTTCGAAATATGTGAAAGGGAATCAAACATCTCCGTCAAATTACTAGTGAAATGCATCATCACTAGTCCGAAATCTTTTAAAAGTTTGGATGCTTCCAAGTTAGAAGAAAAGTTTAAACCCTGGGATTTTAAAGTCATCCACTTCAACTTTATTGTATGGATGATGTTGAGCTAAGAAGTCAGACTGGAACAAACTTTTTCATTCAAATACAGCTGCCCATCTTTCACATTAGGAAGAATCAAGTACATGGAGAAACGCCGACACTTGTCTTTCGCCGTCTTTGTAAGGAAGCTCTAAGCCTTTGAAGCATCAAAGCCCCTTAAAATTATACGAAAACTTCTCTCCGTTTGATTAGGGTTGAATATGGTGAGTGAGGTGTACTTATTAAAATTATATTTGTTTCACAATTCCATATATCCAGGTCATTTTATATTAGGGTAAATTAGTAATTCAATAAATACTTTGGTAGTAGGGCATACTCAGTTAATTTTAGGGTTCGTTTAGCAACATCCTTTTAAATATACTTTTAAACGGGCCAACTCACTCACAAAAAAGTTACGTTATTACAATGAAACTGGTCACAACTAGATATCGAACTCATTACAAATATATATCGTCATTTGTCTTCCTTTCCACTCTTCTTCCTTTTTTACATATTGTTTAAAGTTTACTGGGGTTTGAGTTTGAAAGTTTCGGGTTTCCTTAAATTTGTGGTTTGAAAACAGAGTTAAAGCTAAAAAAACATGATTTCCGACAATATGTGACCAAAACCATGGTTAAAGTTAAAGATATGGTATAAACAACACCCAATAAAAGGACAGAAAGATCCCTCATGTCCCTGTAATATTATAATGCTTTTACCCAGAAGGACATGTTCAATTGGGGATTCCATTAAAGGAAAGTGGCTCAATTTAGGTGCAAAATCATTTTAGGGACACACAGAGACCCCAGCGTGCTGGGAGCCATATGCATAGCCAACATATAGTGTTGAGTCACCAACAGATTATATTTGAGTAAACATCAACGTCTTCATTTTAGCAGCTAATTCTAATTGCATATTATCATAATTGTGATGCTAGAGTTAGCTAGAATCCTAATCAACAGAAAAGCTCTGTGTTTAATCATGTCAAATTACTTGTTCTTTGGTTGGTGTTTGGAATTTTAATGCTTCCAAAGTTCTTTCCAGACCTCTTCCTCCCTCCTCTGGCCATTACCGAATTCAACATAGCAATAACCTGTTATATATATAACTACAATCCCATAATAATATGAATTGCAAAATAATTTGCATGATAAATCAAATCGAGTAAACCGAGACAAACTAGCTAGTGGATGACAAAAATGTCTTCCACTACCAAAAATTTCACACAGGAATTAATCCCATAAAACTTAGAATGAATGCATCTTATAGTATTTGATTTCAAGGTATTATTTAACACTCATATATCAACTTTTTATCATGTTAAGAAAAAAAAAACCCTATTGGCATTCTTTTCTCTCTCAGTTCCAAAGAAAAAACTCAATAAAGAGGGGAGGAGGAAGAAGAGTCACTGCTCCTCCTACACTATGCTATCTTCTTTTATCTTTTGGGTTAGTGAATAAGTCCCTTAGGGCGTTTTGAATCAAAAGCATCTTGTGATGATTTATTTTGAGCTATGCTCATATTGAAGTTCCCCATAAACTCTTTTGGGTAAATTCCTCAATCAAATCATCCTTCTTCCACAACTCTCTCTCTAAAACTTTTAATCTTCTTTAAATTTAGTTTTACCTCGCATTTGAAGGACTTTTTTGCACTCTACCCAATTATTTTTTGTCATGATTGTTCGATTGTTATATTTGTTCCTTGTTATGTGCAGTTACATCGCGCAAAGGACCCATTAGTGTAGTGGTTTGGGAGTAATTGCTCCTTCAGGCAAGGTCTTGAGTTCAAGTCTTAGCATTCGTATATTATGTGTGAATTTAATATATTATCTTCCCACTCAATAGGAAATGTCCTTAAAAAAAAATGTTGTTACATCGATGTCAACTATTTTTCTGAGATCTGTCACAAGTTTACATTCACTTAAAGGCTATATGCAGTGGTGGGTTTGACGACGATGCTTCTTCAACTGGTGGCGACAGTTTTCATTTAGGCTCATGGGTTGTTTTAGGGGTTTGGCTAATTTGGGTTTTGTGAGTTTGTTTGAGATTATGTTTAATTGTAGTGATGTGGGCTAGTAGTTGTTGATGCGGCTTTTGTCAGCTTTTGTTTTATTTTTTAGCGTGTTAGTTTTGTATCATATTGCATATTTTTTTCTTTTTTGGGTAAAGCTTATGAATCATCAAGTGGGAAACTGAGGAAGGCTCGTGGACATTTCCCACTAAAGGATATGAATAGATGCAACTGCCACACTTGGCATACACAAACCTTCTCCAAAATTGTATCATTTTTAATTGCCACTTTTGTAAAAGTGTGAAAAACCCTAAGGTTCTGTTTGGTATTTTACTCAAAAAAGTAAATTAAAAAACTATGATTCTTTTTAAAAACATGAGTTTTCAAATAGTGATTTTAAGATTTCAAAACTTGTTTGGTATTGAACTTCAAACTATTTTTAAGATCTAAAAAATTTGAAATTAAAATAAGAAAATCTAGATTTCCAAATTGAAATTAACAACAACAAAAAAAATAGGAGAGGAGGAGAGAGTGGGAGAGGGTGGAGAGATAGAGATAGAGATAGATAGAGATGAGAGAGGAAGGAGAGAGAAAGAGACGGGAAGAGGGAGAGACGGGAGAGGAAGGAGAGAGAGACAAGAGAGGGAGGAGAAAGAAATACCCGAGAGAGAGAAAAAAAACTATAAAATTTCTTCTTCTTTTTTTTTGTTTTTAATAATGGGGGTGTTTTTGAGTTTTTTTTTGGGTTTGAGTTTTTAAAAATTGGCCTACCAAACAAATTTTTGTGAGTTTTTTTTTTGTTTGAATTTTTAAAAATTGGCCTACCAAATAAATTTTTGTGGCTTTAAACTTAAAATCTGTTTGTAAATTTATAGAATTTAATCCAAATAGGATACAAAACAGACCCTAAAGCTTCCACAGAATTCAAAGTGGCCAAAGTGCATGCTACAACTTTTGAGCGGGTCCCCTTCCTCCTTAACTAAAATCTCAACCATAACACTTACACTCCTCTCTCTCTCTCTCTCTCTCTCTCTCTCTTCCAATTAATATCTTACCTTCCCCATATAATCCCCACAACCCCCTACAATTACATCCCTACCTAAGTATATGTACGCAAATATCTATATATGTCATGGCTGACCAAAATCAAAATACTCACTAACATTGCGCCAAATATAACCCACCCCTTGACCTTCCTTCCTTCTCAACCCTCCTTCAACCGCACCCTTTTACACCAAGTCATCCCACATTCTCCTCTCCCTCTCTTCACCACCAGCACTTGTCCAATTACTAAAACACCCTCCCCTCCCCCCCACCATGGCATCAAACTCTTGCGGGAACCACACTAGGTACCATGGAATCCGGTGCCGGGGCGGAAAATGGGTGTCCGAAATCCGTGAGCCACGTAAGACTAGGCGGATATGGCTCGGGACCTACCCAATCCCGGAGATGGCAGCGGCCGCCTATGACGTGGCCGCGCTCGCTCTCAAAGGCAGTGATGCTGTTCTAAACTTTCCGAGCTCCATTGCCTCGTATCCAGTGCCAGCATCCAAGTCACCGGAGGACATTCGCAGTGCCGCTGCTGCTGCTGCTTCTGTTGCTGCTGCACTACAGTCGAATGAGGAGGCCAATAACAGCCTGGAGCTCAAGGAGAGGCAGAAGAAGCAAGAGGACGACATGACGACGATGATGAATAGTACTAGTTTGGCGTCGTCTGTGGGAATGTACGAAGAAGAGCTTTTCGGGATGCCAAATTTGCTGGCCGAGATGGCAGAGGGAATGCTGTTGTCTCCGCCGAGACCGCCTGATTATCCCGAATCGGGCAATTCAGACGGAGGAGAAATTGGTCTGTGGAGCTTCTGATTAATTATTACAGTTATATTTGCCTTAATTATTAATTATTAGAGTTCTTTTTCATCTGCAATATTGTTCTTTTTTCTTCTTTTTTTTCTTAATGAGATTTGAATTGAATGGAGTATCTCTTTTGTGCAACAGATTTTTTCTGGCCATATATATGGTTGCGATCAAACCAATGGAGTGTGCCTTTACAGAGAGACAGAGGATGCAAGTTTGTAAGCGACATACTGACTTATATAAGACAAAAAAAAGAAAAGAAATTATGGGCTGATGATGTGAAACTATCGATTTAGGACCACCCAAAGCTTTCTCATAAGGCTTATGAATCAAGTGAGAAATGCTCAAAACTTCAAGGCTGTCCTACAAATGGAAATTCCTACAAATAGAAATTACCACAAACGGAAATTCCTACAAATAGAAATTACCACAAACGGAAATTCCTACAAATAGAAATTACCACAAATGGAAATTCCTACAAATAGAAATTACTACAATTGGAAATTCACAAAAATAGAAATCACTTAGTTGGGATCGCATCTCAATCATTCCAACTTAAAGTACTAAAGAACCTATCTATAAGCTATGGTCATTAAACAAAGTCAATAGTCTCCCTTGCCATCAATCCGAGGGAGGGGGACATCGATGTTGTCAACAGAGACAACAGTAGGGGAGAGGGATTTCAAAGAAAATAGTTGATGTCGGGTTTGGATAACTTTATGAGATGTGCATTATAATTAAGAGATATTTTGTCATATACTCATTCTTAGCACTAAAACTATAAATAAATCATACACCATTTAATTTCTATAAACAAATCCAAAACAAACCCAAAAAATAATAGCTGGTCCTATTTAATTTAATTTTGATTATTAAATTACTTTGATACCCTATTAAGTGATTGAGTTTTTTTTTTATGAGGTTTTGGGGTTGAGTTTGTTTTAAGAAATCAATGGCAGTTTTGTAATTTAAAAGAAGTTAAAAGTCTTTTTGTTATGTTGTAAATGGGTTTTGGGTAAGTTTCTAAAGTTCTATATGATTTTTTTTTATAATTTGGGCTCCTATATTGGGTATAATAGTGAATCTCCCTGTAATTAAACAATAGCTCACAAAATATTGTCCAAAATAGCAACTGTAAAGTACTACTTGAAGATTAACTAATACAAAAGCATTAAGTAGTGGAATAACAACCAGGTTTAGCTAAAGTAAAAAGGGAACAATTTAGTAACTTATTCTAGTTCTAATCTCCTTAATCTTTTGAAACACTACTACTACTACAATAGACGACGGGGATCCACCATCGTCGTTAAATCGATCGACATCTTTTGAATGTCAAACTACGACGGGTTTTCACCTTCGTTGTTAGCTGGAAAGACGACGGTTTTATGAACAACCGTCTTTTACCTTATAAGACAACGGTTGTTTTGCAAAAACCATCATTGTTTATCTTATAAGACGACGGTTTGTATAAAAACCGTTGTTGTTTATTGTTTAAGACGACAATGTTTATAAAAACCGTTGTTGTTTATCTATAAAGACGACGGTTTTATTGTAAAAAACCGTTGTCTAATTAGTTCCCATGTTGTTGGCATGTGAATTCATGCCTAAAAACCGTTGTTGATTGACTATGGAGACTACGGTTGTATTGCCAATCCGTCGTCTAATAACTTCCCATGCTATTACATTTGTTTTTTTGTTTCCTATGATTCTATACAACGATTTTAACTATAAAACGAACCATAATTCTTTATTAATGAATATATATACACTCAAAAATTGTTTCTTTCATAAAATTTGAAGATTCAATAGTTATTATATAGTTAACCAATCTTTATTCCTACCACATCTATAGCATTAACCTAGAATTATAAATATTTAAGCTACATGTGATTGCTCACAAATTCTACCAATTCAATCTAAACTTCATCAATTTGTTCTTGAGTTCTTGCACATTTTCTAAGTGTTGAGGCCCAAAAATCTAAGGCTGGGCCCAAATATATTTCTAACCCAGCAAGGCACCTAACTTGGGAAAAAACTCATCTTGGGTACGCAAGAGTTCGTCATATGCGCTTGAACACGTGCCACGCCAAGCAAATAAGCAACACGCCACGCTACAAGCTTAAGTGGGCCCAAACCACGCGAATGCCTGGGGCTTGCTGAGTGGGTTGTGGTATGAATGGTTATGAGTATTCACGAGCCCTATTGATGGTCCAAGGAGTGGAAGTTTTGGGCTGCTTGGGAGCACCAAAACTCAAGCCCATTCCTTGAGCCTAAACATATGGGTAAGCATGAGATAGAAAACCCAATAGCCTATCACCTTAAGAAAAGGCCTACAACACTTGAAAAATCCCACATCAGCCAAAACTTCCAGCTGCTTAAGTAAACTCACAAGCTGCTGGAAACAAAACAGCCTAGCGTCTTATATCCAACATCATGGAAATATCCAGCATCTTTTTTAAAACTATATCGAAGCCAAACCACCAAAACCAAGCAAAACCATGTGCTGATGGAATCACCTTTTGACCAGTACCCTTACCCATTCTTTCCTTTACAAGCTTTGGTGAGAAAACAAGAAGGAAAAGTGGGTGGCTCCTCACCCACATAAACAAGTCTTGCTGCCTGAGGACCTTGGAACCCCCAAAAAGCTGCGTGCCTATGGGTTCAGGCTGAGGAAGTTTCACCAAACAAGATTAAATGGAAGAAAGTGAAGAAAAGAAGGAGGGAGGCTTGACAAAATTAAGGGTTTCTATCACCTATAAAATGAGCCACTTTCTACCCAGCAAAACAACTCACCTTGGTTTCTTCAAGCCTCCCATCAACCATGAGAATCAATCGAAGGCAAGCATCCCCTTTGGAATCCTTCAATTTCAAGCTTTGTTCCCCATCTTCTTCATCTCTCTCTCTCTCTCTCTCTCTCTCTCTCTCTCTCTCTCTCTCTCTCTCTCTCTCTCTCTCTCTCTCTCTCTCTCTCTCTCTCTTAAGACACATCTAGAGAGCAAGCTTCCCTCTCATCTTCAAAACCTAGCAATTTCGTGCACTATTCATCCCTCTTCCCCATTTTCCCTCTTGGAAGAATTGTTCCAGTACTTGACAGAACTTTTGTCAAGCTGTCGGAAACTTACTCAAGCCACCCGTTCCTCTTCCTCATCTCTTCCTCTCTCTCCTCAACAAATCCTCCCAAAAAATCTCTCTTCCCCTTACTTCGGGCCTCTATTTCTCATAGGAAACCCAAGCCTTCTCTCTCTCATGCTAAACCCACGAATGCTCAGCTCCCATGCCACAAGCTTCTCATGCCAAGTCACAATATTTATCTGCAAGCGACTGTTAGTTTCATTGGTGAAGAAGACCAAGGTGTTTCCTAAGGCTCAGCTACCCATTCGAAGCACACTTGGGGTCTGATCCTCGAACTCAGACACAAGGGGCGATTCCAGCCATTTGCTCTTTACAGCAGCTCAGGCCCATTCGTCAAGCTGCTGGAAAGAAAAAGCCCCTACACTAAGCTGTTGTAATCCCCCCAATGTAGCGGTATCAGCAACATGTCCATTCTGCAAGGCTTGCAAAATTAACATCAAACTCCACAAACACAAATCTTATCCTAAAGGTAGGAAGTGCTGCTGTAGCATGACAATAAGCATGAGTGTTTTAGTATATTATATGATTCTAATAAGTATGAGTACTTCAAGGTTCCCTGTAAAATTTCTACAAATTTAAGGTGCATGTAGTCTCCACATTACTTCATTCCAAAGTATACAAACAAAAACTATGACCATACATCCAGAAACTCACTCCTTTATTTTTCTTGTAATTGATAACCATGATATGATTAAATTCTGAGAATGAAAGACCAACTGAATGGAAAAAAAAAAAAAAAAAAGTGCCAACAATAGTTGAAATGTGAAAGAATTCAGAAGAGACGCACCTTCAATTGAATTCCATGTATGCCAAATTATGGGGAAAGTAAAATCCGCATTATGGGACAACACCAATTAAAACAAAGCACATGATGTCATACCTTCCGATCGGCATGTTCCGTGCCAATCACGCAAGGACATGCTTGTGATAAAGCAAATGATGTCACACCTTCCGATCGGCATGCTCCGTGCCGATCGCGCAAGGACGTGAGTGCTACAAGGGCATGACGTCATACCTTCCGATTGTCATGCTCCGTGCCGATCGCGCACGACAAAGTGCATGATGTCACACCTTCCGATCCGCATGCTCTGTGCCAATGGCGCAAGACAAAGTGCATGATGTCACACCTTCCGATCAACATGCTCTATGCCAATCGCGCAAAGACTTGCGAGCCTCAAGCGCATGACGTCATACCTTTCGATCGGCATGTTCTGTGCCGATTGCTCAAGGACTTGCGCATGACAGCACTCCTTCCAATCGGCATGCAACGTGCCGATCGCGTATGGACTTGCACCAGTCCATCCCACATTTCCACCCATAGCTGTTTACTCCTATGCTGAAGCAACTCCTAGCTTGCAAACTTGGGGGACTGGGGACTTGCCTACGACATCCATCATGCTGAATATACTCAGTTTGATTATTCGACTATTTACAAAGTTCCCAACCCAGAAGCCACTTCTTGATAAGCAACTTAGGGGACTACTGTTTATACCATATTCAAATAAGTACATTCGGCACTGGGAACCGAAGCATAAACAGACTCACAGGCCTGCCGAAGATAACATTGACGACGCCATAACGCCATTCTGATGCAGCAACTGCCTGCCGAAGGTAGTTGCCGAAGCTCTCAACTACAGAACCTAACCCGCGAACACGTGTCACCACCACAACAACTTTCACAAAGTCCCACATCGAAACTTTGTGCAAACTCCCACTTCCACCTCTCTATAAAAAAAAAAGGGCACAGGCTCCTAAAACGAGGTAACTACTTTTTATCTTTTCTGTTACTCTACCAAAATTACCACATATACACGCTTACTTAAGCATCGGAGAGCCTTCGGCAGGCATTACAATGGTGCCCGAAGCTTGACGATTGCTTCTTCTTTGTCTCCTCCTATAGAACCCTTATGTACCGAAGGTTCATGACATTCTCATCCTACTAAATATCCAACAATCTTTACATAAGTTGACCATCCCAAAAAGAGCATCAACAAGTTGCGTGTGATTATATTCGCAATGAATAATAAGCTTTTAGATACTACAGCTAATATTGAAAATAGTATGAATCAACTAAATATTAATCATATCATCATTAAGAGTTGAAGCTAGTAATCCTAATAAGTATGTTTGATTTTTTTTTTTTTTTGGGACAAACGATAGTAAT